GTAGTATACGGTGTCTGTCATTTTGATTGATTCATATGTAAGTAAGTATTTGTGCTGTACAACCTCGCTTACTGGGCTTTGTCTCATGAGCTTTGTTTCTGTTTTCCATCCACAGAAATTGTCGTGAACACCTGCCTTCGGAGAATCACTGTCCTCTGGTGCTTCCATAGCGTGCATATTACAGTCACCATTCTCAGAGCTTTGCTTCCTGTTCCCACCACCATGGCAATTTATGGTAGTTTGTTATAGGACAGACGAAAACCACTACAATTTATTTATAGGTTGATCTCAGATTTTTGCAAAAGGTAACTCTAGTCTACTAGTGATGGGGAGACGCATATGCTCGATTTTGGTTGGTTCATCTTCTGACCAATCCGTCCAATTGGCGTGATGTTCCCTGGCTGCTTGGTTCCGGACATGGTGGAAGCCTCAATGTTGGGCTAAATTGCATACAATCGGTCTTCGGGTAACTGCGTGATTAACCCGTGTCCGACGGAGGCTGGTAATGTCACAAAACTAAGCATGCCCAACGATTACAACTAACATCTAGATACTCTGTAAGGACATCGTCGACTTTATATTCTTATATATTCTCATTATATATATTATATATATTTTTACGCTCATAATCTTTCGCAAATTTGCACGAAGAAAAGCGGAACCAATTTCGAAGTACCGCGTCCACTTAGGGCTTTTAGCGGTCCAGAGGGAGAGCAAGCTGCTTACTGCCGACCAAAACACAAAGGGGGCTTTTCGCTGCTGCAATCATTCACAGAAGTGCAGCTAGAGCGAGTTATTTTTTAAGGCAACCTTTTGCGGTTCAACATTACTGATCCGGTGTTCCAACCAGGTGCAGACAGTGCTTCGAAGACAAGATGGTCCTCAATACGCACTGGCCTGATTTCTGACCAGATCGTGTATATCATCTAAATGGCCAAAATTTTTTAAGGCTTTTGCGGTTCAACATTACTGATCCGGTGTTCCAACCAGGTGCAGACAGTGCTTCGAAGACAAGATGGTCCTCAATACGTACGGGCCTGATTTCTGACCAGATCGTGTATATCATCTAAATGGCCAAAAATTGAAATCGGTCTCATCAATCCGAGACTTGGGCGTTCAAATCCGTTATGATTTAAAGTCGAAGGACCACACGAGCGCTGTGTATAAGAAGTCTCTTCGCATTTTGTGGGCATTGAAGCGAAGTTTTTCGATGTGGACAGAAGGGTTAGTTTTAAAACTGTATCCCACCATGATCCGGCCTATATTGGAATATGGTGC